AAAAACATGTCAGGCAAAGCCTGTTGCATTCTTAGTGAATCAAGGAAATATTGTGGACATAGCTTACTTAGACTTCAGTAAGGCACTTGACAAAACAGACCACAATCAACCTGTTTTTTTCGCACTAGAAGACTCACCTAACCATAAGACGCATCTAGGTTTAGAGGAGGAAAACAAGAAAAAAAATATTCTGAACCAAATGGTGTACTAATATATTTAATAAAATGTAGCATAATATTTCAACCAGTGGTGGTATTCAGCCGGTTCTCACTGGTTCAGGCAATTGGTAGCGGCAATTTGGCCTGGGTCACCAAACCAGTAGCTACTTCTAGCTGTCCATGCTCCCTCGCTTGGTTGCCCGGTCCAGTTGTGCGACGCTCGCTTGCCCCTTCTACCCGCTCGACGCTCAGCCTACCCACCCCCACCCTATATATGTTGCCTTCACCACACAGCCAAGTCAATTGTCTCACCAGTCACTTCACCAATGCCCAATCAGCTCAGCTCACCAAAGGTAAGCAATGAATGCCACTCACCCTTCGCCTTGAGTCAGAGCCTGGGGGCCCATGGATGTGCCATTCCCCGAGGGCCCCGGAGCAGCTGACTGCCTCAGGTGGGTCAGGGAATGTGCGATTCCCCGGCTCTGGCCTTGGCCAAGAGATCTGCCTGCTCGCCACCCGCCTCAGCTGGTCAAGTCCGAGTGGAGCAGCACAGCAGGCAATGGGGTGCACCTGCATGGCAGGCACATAGAACAGGGCGGCGGCAGCATGGAGAAGTGGAGCAGAGCCAGAGGTCGGTAATTTTTGCTGAACGAAGCCTGCAGCTGCTGTGTGTTTTTTTCAGTGCGGCTGGACTCCAGCCACACTGAAAAAAACATGTGGTGGCTCCAGGCATCTCGTGACAAGGGGTGCAACATGCGAGCTGGTGGGGAGCCCAATGGTGACAACAGCTTAGCCCTGGCTTGCCTTCCCTGGCAGCCAGCCACAGGAGGAAGGTAAGGTCATGGGTGCGGGATGGCGAAAGAGGTGGTTGTGGGGGAGGAAGTGGGAAGGCTAAAGGCCAGGGCCTCTGAAGGAAGGGAAACATGACGCATGCGACAGGTGAAGGGAGAGCGGGTGGCATGCAGGATTAGGCCAGGCTTGATGCACATACATTTCCACCCACTTGGGGGAGAAAAAAAAGGCGTCTTGTGGAATGAAAAATATGGTACTTCTTGGTAAAATAGAAAAATGTGGAATTGACAGCATCACCATCAGATGGATTCTCAATTGGCTGACCAACCACACTCAATGTTTAGTCCTCAATGGACAGAAGCATGCAGCAGAGTACCACAAAATTCTGTCTTGGGCCTAATACTCTTCAACATCTTTATAATTTGTTTAGATGAGGGGATAGAAGGAAAGCTCATCAAATTTGCAGACAACACCACACTTGGGGGAATAGGCAACACCCTAGAAGATGAGTGAACTCCACTATATAATTGCATGATGCAAGATTTTTAAAGGACATCAGCTATATTTTTTAATGTTTTTCTTTGGATTCTTTTTTACAGTACCTGCTCAAGAGTTATGGAAGTGGAATGGGTAGACCTCTCAATTATTTAGCCAACCAGCCAACCAAGCAACCACCATCATAGATCAGATTAAAAGTCTGTAGTAACTATATAAATACTTGCACACAAAACAGGAAGGGCCAGGTTCCCGTTATTACTCAGAAGGTGGTATTTAAGGAAAGTTGGTGTCTGGAATAGTGAAAGTAACTGAGACTACTTTCTATTGATTCTACTGCTCGTTATACTCTTATTATTTTAAGATTTATTAAAATTTACACTCCAATACATCTGAACTCTGATACTGTATATATTTACCAAACATATCAAGTTGCACTAAGCTTAACCAATTGAAAAGTATGTATGCATGAAGATTATAACTGAATACATTTAACTTTCATAAATGTTTGATACAGGATGTAACCAGTAAGAGAAACAAAGCCATGAAAGTGTAGATGACTAGGTTGAGCCCAAGGGAGTGCTCAAAACACATCATCAATCTTGAATCCCTTCCCATCCACAAAGAGATCTAACTTCAATCCATCTTGAATTCCATTGACTCTTATCTACCATCAGTTTGCTTTGACCATTAGTAATTCAAATCCTTGTAGAGAGCATAAGCTTGCAATAAACCTTTATATTCATGCCTTGACTTCTGATTTCCTGTGCTTGACAGAAGGAAAGAGCCTCCATCCATTATAACTACAGTATATCCCTCTTAATATTCTCAAAGAATTTAATTGGCTATAACAAACTCCAAACTGGTGACATTATTATAGCACCTTGTGGAATCCTACATCTTCCCAAAGTTATCCAGGAAAAAAGAAACAAAACCGATCTAAATCTGGGATTTGACAGGAATGTTATTGGATGTAATTCAAGTGTGGTGTCTAGATCATTAGAGACAATTGGTTTTGTATGTGTGTAAGCTACAGTATCACCACTAAGAACCTGTTTGTCAAGAAATATATACACAGCCATTTACCTTAATTATGATTAGTATCAAAGGAAAGGCAGATGGGCAAGCTGATGTTATTAACCTTTTTTTTTAAGAGGAAGAAATGGAACGGGTAAGTCAGAAGAGTCTAGCGGGGATTATATTTTGATTTATCAGAATTGTAGCTGAAAATATTGAGTGACCATATAAATCTATAAGATACCAGAAGTTTCCCTGAGCCACTGAGATGCCAAAGGGAGCGAGACTTGAGACGAGGCTTGCAAAACTATCAGCTTTTATTTATAGCCAAAGCAAAAGCTGGGTGACAAAACTATATCCAAAACATGCAGACAAAATGCATGTAAGGAATAGCCACACCCCTGCAAGAGTGGCTCAGAGTATTATACACATTTTACCCTGTTAGAAATGAAGTTTACCCAATCAGAGACAAAGGTTCCCAACCAACAGCATTCTTTGTTCAGGTCCCCCTATCTCTGCCTACCTTATCGATGGAGCATTCCTATAGGGGAGGTTTCCCTCCCTGGCAAGTTCTTTATTCAGAAGAATGCTTTCAGGATTCAGAGTCTATGAGGCAGGAAGCTCCCTACTCTGGTTCTTTTATCTACCTGATAGTCCTGGGTAACAGTTTCTTCTATATTTTCCAGGATGTGCCTAGCTTTGAAGACAAGAACAGAAGCAAGACATAGAAGCAAGATAACAAACTTTGTACTAATGTAACCAGTATCAAGGCTACAATTCACTAAACTAGAATTAATTCCTAACAACTAATTTCTGACAGTATACAATAATATAAGCAGAAGCCAATAACAAAGCTTAATCCCCGATAAATGATTTCTAGCAGTATATCATATCAGAAGCAAACAGCAAATATTGGTTTGATCACTACACTCCTTCAAATCTAATTAATAAATATTTTAGCCCTGACTTTTTATACATGATTGCTTTTATATATGTATTGTTTTATTGGATTATTGTATGCCCCCAGAGTCAACTATAGTGAGAAGGGCAGCCATATCAATCTATAATAATAAATTTGGAGGACACCCGATTAATTAACGTTCATCGCTATGTATTGCGAGTCAAGCATTTGGCTGAATGTTGTGTGCTCCTAAAGTGTCTTGTAAGGAAAGAGCCTATGGAGGGATTTAAAACGTGATTTAATTAATTCTGAATTCTATTCCGTCTCATGCATTTGAATCACCACATGGGAAAGAATATGTACAAAACCCATCATTTTATTTGGAGAGAAGTCTTGTGGCGCCTAAACCGGGCAGCCATTAGTCATAAAAATACCTGAGAGGCAAACGCGACTCTAGAGTCCACGCATGTCTAAGAAACTTCCGTTCATTATTGAAGCTGCTCGTTTCTTTTCGAATAGCAATCCAGCTTCAGGCTTGCTGTACCAATATGACTTCACCAGCTCCCATGTAAAGCCTTTGCTTTCCTCTGAAGGAGCCATCAGCCGCTCCCGAGCAGTTTGAACCAAGCCCCTCGTGTTCAGTTGATGCTTCTGCCCGCAATCTCGTCGCCGAACCGGATGGGCCGAAGCGCACACGCAGCTTTGCCCACGGAAGGAACGAGGGGGACAGGCGGCGAAGCACCCGCCTTCCAGTCTGTCCCCGAGCAGCCACCTTGAGGCAGAACCGGCGAGAAGACTCACAGGCCTGCGCTTGCCCGGCTTGGTCAGATCGCCAGGTGAGAGGAATATCTTGCCCCTCCCGCCAGCATGATCCCCCCCCCCGCCCCCCCAATTTAAAAAAGAAGACGAGTAAGAGGTGTTCGTGCCCTTTCCGCTTTCTGTCGATCCAATACAATATCAGACAGGCGCAAAGCAAGAGGAGCCAGGTTGCTAGAAGAGAAAGCTAATGCAAAGAGGCAATTCTGCTATAATAAGGCGGGCGAAAGTTCCATGAAGTCTTTGCAAATTTCAGGCAAGTGAGCTAAAGAAAATGAAATCGGGCGGGGTGGAGAAGAATGGAAGAAAAACTTGAGCGAGGACGGCGACCCCTCTTTCCTCTAGTTTTGCAATGTTGCAGAGATCGTGTTCCGTTCTCTCCCTCTCCCTGTCATCATAGGTTCGTTTCAGAGATCATGCTGGACCGCTCAGAACCCTCTTTTGTTCTTTCTACTAGCATGAGACAGGTCACAGTACTTTGTCTGAATATCCTCCCCCTTCCATTCCCGCATAATATCAAGTCAGGGTAAATTAACGGCAGGAAAAAAAAAGATGATACCACATCTACACTCATAATAACCCTGTTCTCAAGGTCAGCTATGTAATTGTAGGGACCAATAGGGACAGTTCTCCAGTTTTGTTACACTCCCCTGTAAGAGGTGTGGAAGGCTGGTGCCTTCCAGGCCCTTCAACACCCTTTTGATGACTGCAGGGTGAGGAGAGGGAGAAGGAGCGGGCTTGCCCAAAGGCTGCCCTCCACCTGAGCTCTCCTGCCTTGGCCCTTAATTGCAGGATGGATTGAAGGGGATACTTTTTACAGCAGGGAGCAGAGTTGCGGGTTGCACCAGGGAACCTCGCATGTCAGACAAGGGCTGCTGTGACCAAAACTTAACTAAACCCGGGAAAGGGAGAGGGAACTACAGAAGGTAAAACCTACTTTTTTCTTTTTTCTCTCTCTCATGCTGTGCTAGGTCGAATAATTTTTAAAAATATGTTTACACAATTTCTAACTTGCTTACTCATTAACAACAATGGTCAAGATTAAGGGTAACTATATTGGTTTAAGTTTGTGTGTGTGTATCTGAGGTCTCTTACACAATTATTGTCTCATTTAATCTGGATTCCTGAGCCAGGCTGGATTCCTAATTCCTAGTGAATGAGATTGAGACCCTCTGGCATTACTCAGGCATCATTTTTATTTAATGTCATTTGACAGTATATCAAATAAGTAGAATTTTCAGTTTCAAAATACCTGATTTTTGTAGTTCACTTTTTACACCTTGCAAAAATCAGCATTTTTAAAATAATTATGTACAATAGCTAGTCTTTTGGATATAGTAGTGAGAGTACCATGTGGGTGAACAAAGAACAACAGCTATTTTCAATCTTATGCATATGTTAAAATTTATGAGTAGACAGATGATAGACAGACAGACATATACTAAATGAGAGGCTGGGTTAAATTATTACAGTCTAATAATTTTTTTCATTATTCTTATCAGTGAACTCAGAATTTTTAAGGATAGAGAAATTTCTGTCAAGTAATTCTCAGCTGTCACTACATATATCGTGTGTTTCAGTTTTTGAGAACCTTGTTTCTTATACCAGACCTAACTAAACTATGTTCAGATCATGTGGTTGAATCAAGGCTTAGAATGTGCTGTGGAGATGGGGTTAAATTATTCCAAGTTATACGACAATAACCTTGACTATGAGAGCCAAGAACGACAGCAACTAATTCTGAAGGATCTCTGTACTTCAACAATTGTAAGTATCTATGAATAGTGAACTATAAAGCCAAACACACACAAAATGTATAGTTGGATCATTCAAACTGTGTGTGCGTGCGTGTGTTCGCAAGTAATTTGCAGTACTCATAGAACAATAAAATGTTCTTGCAGGCTCTTAAGCTATGTAGTCTGAAAATAACAGGAAAATATCAGACCTGTTGGCTGAGTTATAATATGATGGTTTTCTCTTGAGTTTTTCCTCTTCGGATACAAGCCATTTCTGACAGAATAGAATGGGCATTATATAAACTGTACCAAACATTACCATCATTCAAACAAGTTCAAAAATTGAACAGTTGAGTCAGTGTATACTGTATAGACAAACAGTGTAAAATGTAAGAACATCCAGAGAAAAGTGCAGCTTGAAATGTTTTCTCTTTTTTTGTTGATAAAGTTGTTAAACAGCATGAGTCAAATATAGAGCTTTTGGAGCATTTATTGCAATCTCTCAGCAAGAGAGGTGCGAAATCTGTTGGACCTCCTGCTTCTACATAAAATAACTGGTACAGCTGAAATCTTCTGTTAGCATTACACTTGCCATATGTTTACACTTGCCAATTACACTTGCCAATTTGTTTAATTTCTTTATGGGCATGTGGACATAGGGAAAGGAGATCAAGAATTAATATGCAGTACTTTCTCCATAATCAAGCCCTAAAAACTTCAAAACATGCTTTGTTTTATAAGTCACTTAAAACCATGCTGCCTCAATGTTTTTGACCAGGTCAATTTAGGGATTGGCTTAATGTGACATCATGTTTAGTCTACATTCTAAACAAATGCAAGAGTGTCTGTTCTTAGTATGTGAGATATAAAATATTACAGTGGATTCACAATGAAGGACAGTGGATTCTTGAGAGGCAGGCCACATTGCCTTTTTTGAAGAGAAATTTCCACAGCAGTTCTTAGTCCTTTCGCTTTACTTTTTCTTCAGCCATTTTCAGAGACCAACTGTAAGAACGCCTCTTCCTTTTCAGTGGCCCTCTTGGCAATTGTCTGGGCCTTTAACACCAGCGGAATTCTGCTCAGCTTTTTCTTCATTGTCTTCACAATTCGCTTCAGAAAAAATAGGTAAGGCCAAGTCAGTCCTGTTTTTATTCTCTGGGCAAGATCTAATTCTTTGTCATTCAAGAATTTCTCAAGAATCTTGTTTTTGTTTACTGCAGTTCTATACAGACTTTCAGGGTCTGCAGTAAGTGTGCTGTGGATTCCTTACTGTCACTCGTGAGAGTGTAGTCAAACCTACCAAACACAGAGAGGGCAATAAATGGGCCTTGATAAGGCTCTGGAAGTTTAAAGGGCCAAATTTTCGATAAATGCTCACCCAGTGAAATTTAAAACTAAAGAAAACAGGTTTTTACATTTATTTACTTATATAGGCAGTTGTATTATTCTGGCTATTCTCCTTAGAGAAAATATTACAATATGTATATTTCACTAATTCTTACATTTATGTGCTGCATATCTAGCAAAAAATAATTTCCAAGGTAGTCCCAAACAAAGAAATTGCTTGAAAGTTTCAGAATAAACTTATTATATGAAGTAATTGAAAGCAGAATGAGTCAATCACCCCACAGGCCAAATTCTGAGTAGCAGCAGCAGGTGTTCAATGGTTTGATCTGTATCCTTATAGCCGGGGAGTTGTGTTCAGATTTGAATGACAAGATTGTCTCCTTACCTCTGCTGAAGAAAAACTCAGCTGCCAATCTAATCAACTGTTGCATGTGAGAAACCTATTTCCTCAAGTAGCAAAACATCTAACTCGGGTGTCAAACTCGTGTCATCATGGCGGCATCATGTGACGTATAGGGACTTTTCCCCCCTTCACTAAACCAGGCATGGGCGTGGCCAGCACACGATGCATCTGGCCCACAGGCCACAAGTTTGACACCCCTGATCGAACTCATGTTTGATGGGATGAATTTTTCAATGATTAACATGGGCAGCATAAAATTATGCAAGAGTTAAGAACACTTTGCCCCTTAAAATACCACCAAAATACAAAAAAGGTGCTGTATTCTTTCCTCTGTCTATTTTGGGAATGAAAAAGAGGTGCTGGTAGGTTGCACAAGGTTCATAGTTTTTGCATCATTGCTCTAAAAGATCATTCAGGCTTGAAGAAATGACAACTAAGTATGATGGTTAATTATCCTAAATTTATTGACAACTTCAGAAACCTCTGACAAATAGGATCCTTCTGTACCAGAATTAGACATGGGGATTAGGGAATTCCATTCCTAGTGGAAGAAAATGTCATTTTTAAGATGATACTTCAGGGAATGTAATTTAACTTGGAAGGAGGGAGCATTTTGGTTCTGGATGATACTTTTTAAGTCAGGGGGAAAAGCAGAGTAGTGAAATCCAGGTAAGGTGTGTCAAGAAACAAGCTCTGGTAGCACATATTGGAAGGAAAGGTATAATGCAGTTATTTCTTCTAATAACTCTTTTTTCTCACGTTCTCTCCTTTATCTTCTACAGGATTGTGAAAATGTCTAGTCCAAACTTGAATGTTGTGACTCTCCTGGGCAGTGGCTTGACTTACGGTAGCGTATATCTCTTTGGAATTGAAAAACAGACTCCTTTGAGCAGACCATCCTTAGAGATGCTGATTCAAGTAGGTGAACGCACATTTTGAGAACAATTGTGAGATTTATTATGTATCGATCTTAGTGACATAGTTACACAGCAGATTACTGATATGCAGAGGAATCAAGCAATCAAGCAGAACAGAACGGCGAGGGACCTTGGAGGTCTTCTAGTACATCCCATGTGGAAATGAATAAGACTTTATTTTTCAGTATTTTCCTTTCAGAAGCAGCCTCTGAAAGGAGAAAAAGAAAAGAAAAAAAGCCTTTTCAAAACCAAGTAGAGACTTTTGTTAAATTCATGTTGAACTTCAACACAAACATCATGTATGAATTTGTAAAATATGCTTAATCTGAGTAGTTTTCTTACCTTTCTATCTGACAGCACATAATCACACCAGCTGGGCAAAGAGCCACATTTGCGGGCATATACCGCAAGCCTTCCCCACCCCGTGCTCCATTTTCATCAGGCCAGCTTAGTGTTTTCTCTGTATTTGTACTGGAAGAATACTGGTGAAATTTTATTATGCCAATAGACCCTTCCCCAGTTTAGCTCCATTTAGTTTTCTGTATCTTCTGCTGCCATCTGGTGCTTATGTGCAATGTTGCAGCTCAAGTAAGGTAATCCTTAATGTGGAAATTCTTGGTTATCCAGATCATAATTGTCTCAGATGCTTTTTCAAAAGGCAAATGGACTGGGTTTTTTTTTCCCTGGGGAGGAGGAAGAAGTTTTGCTTCTCACCCAAAAAGCTTAATAAATTCTGGCTCGATAGTGGGGATGATAGAACAATTAGTTCTGACAGGATGGGTGGAGGGGTGTGTGTCAAAGAATCATATTTCTTTGCAGTCATCTGGTCGTTAGCATTCTTCCTGAGAGCTCTTGAGGCTACTAGGAATTTATCTGTGCCCTCAGAGTTCAAATTGGGTGAATCTTCTTGGACCTGCTGAAAGGATAGCTTTGTAGAGTAGACAGGAGATGTGTCTTATCCTCCCCCCTCTGTTGAGACAGGGTTGCTCAGTGTTAACATAAATGATCTCTTTTACTCCTCTTTCAAACCAATGGCCCTCTCTATCCAGAATGTGGGTAGATATATGGCAACATATGACCATAACTGTTCTCACTTTTTTGGGGCAGACTTTGTGAGAGAAGGGCTGAAAGCCTTCCCCTCTACCCATTAAGGAAATGGGTAACAAAGTCTACAGATTTTATATAGCTTGAGGCTTTAAACAAAAAAGAGAATGTAAAATTCTCCCACTTGTGGGTTGGGGATGAGATGAAGTAACAGCAGGAAAATGGTGTTGCTGTGGTATGTTTATGCCATAGTCAGGAGCAAGTGGTGCACAAATTAAATCTTCTTCCATATTTATGAATAGTCCATCATTAATGATCTTTTTTTTGGAGATGGGGTTGGACAAGATTCAAACATACCACTTATTTTTAATCTTTAATCTGTGTATCTCAGTTCTACAAATTGGCAATACTGCATCTGTGTACTTCAAATTTGCGTAAGTGAGGAGCAAAGTTCAGAGCAAGGTTTGATCAACTCCCACTCTGCCTGGGCATGCGTTATCTGATTTTTAAAAATTGTAAATTGTAAACTTGTAAATTCACTAAAAATGTGTTGAAGTTGCTGGTGTCTCTTGGGAGGGAGTTCAAATCCATCGTTGGATAACTCCTGTCCTAGCAAATGATCAGATGAAACAGGTTTATATTAGCATTGCCACTTCCTATGCCTGATCATCTGCTGAATCATTGGCTAGGTTCAGATAATTTACTAAGCCACAACCAAAGGTAAGTTTTGGTGTTACATAAATATAGCCACTATAGTCAGCAATGATAATTTATAACTGATGTGAATCCAGTCATTCTGATTTAACGGGGGCCTAGTACATGGTTCAGTAGGTTCTTCATTCCAAATAAACTTTAGGAATAAACATTCAGGCAGTCAGATGATACAGAGATATATCTGTTAGCTATGAATTATGGTGCAGGTCCTTAGCTCATACTTAGGTTCTGATACTGTAGCCCCTCACCTCATATTTAAGTTCTGATATAAATAGGTGACTCCCTTGTCCCCATCCCTCCCTTAAAGATACTTACGTGTACTTGTTTTTAAAACAAGTTTTTAAAATGTGGCTTCCTCTGTAAAAGGTTACAGTAACTATTGTCTATCTCAGTAACTATTGTCAAACTTGTGGCCAACCGGCTGGATGCATCATGCACTGGCCACGCCTACTCCCGGTTTAGCGAAGGAGAAAAAGTTGTGATACATCATGTGATGATGCAATGCCGCGAGTTTGACATCCCTGGTCTATCTAGTTAAGGTTACAGCTTGAATTTTAGAGCTTTAATTATGAATTTGCTGGGTCAGTTATCTTCTGTTTGTATACTATACTTGCTCTTTTGAAAATGTGCTGTGTCTTCTAGAATAGGTTGCATATAACTTATCCAAGAATAGTACAAATCTCCCCTACTATATTTTCTACATTTAGACTGATGGATCTTTCCCATCCCAACAGGTGAGAATTTGTATATTATACATAAGTGGTTCCTTGGCTTTGGGTCCTATCCTGGGAAAGAGTTGGCGTTTATACAGAGTATTCACTCAAAAGGTGCCAGACAAAAGAGTGGTAAGTCCTGCACACCGAAAGAGGAGCAAAGCTGGACTTTTTGGTAATAGTTCTTGTTGCCATGCTGAGGTTTGCGTGCAGGCTGTTTTTAAAAACTGTTCTTGCTTGAGCACACTTCTGGGCATAAAGTTGATCAGCATCTACTGCAACGCAACTCCTCTGGGGAAAATGCACAATTTTATTGATAAATTTGACTGTAATTCATGGTAATACATGGTTTCTATTTTGGCACATAGAAACCAAATACGATTAGACATTGTGGTTTTATTATTCATTTTTTTGCCTCATCCTTCCTCCCAATCACTGGTTAAAAAAACCCATTACTTTCCTCACCCTCATAAATAGGAAGGCTCTATCGTATTATTCAAAAGTGTAGTTGCTAAAAAGCAAAAAGTGCCTGCTTGAAAGCCTAAAACAAGAATAGTGCTTTGCCCAGCACAATGGTTTCCTGCAATAATAAGAGTTCATATTATGTTGACAAATGAACAGATACATGGACACACAATATACTGAATAAGAATAGGGTTGTTAGCAATTTATTTTAATTATCTGTGGAAAGGAGGGGATAAAGTTTTATTAGTCCAGGAGTTTGGGCATGTTATGCCCCTGGTAGAATCGGACTCTGAGGGAGAGGAGGAACAGCTGACAGGGAGTGGAGGTGTGGCTCTGGAGGTTGTGGAGGAGGCTGGGGAAAGGCTGAGGCTGGCTGGGCAGTCAGAGGAAGAACCAGGCCCATCCCCTCTGTATTAAGATACACTCAGGGAGGAAAGGAGAAGGCAACAACTTGGCTTACGAGAGAGGAAGTGACAATGATCCTCCTCATTGGTTACAGCTGGGGAGATGAGTATATAAGATAGATGGTTAAAACACAGGTTGCCAGAATGTTCTGTATCCTGTACAGATGCAGATAGATAAACTCCACAAAACATCCATAACAAAGTACTTTTATTGGTTCATCAGGTATCCTCATAACTCACATTTGTGATGAAGTTCTTTAATGACCAATCTTTTGCATATCTGTCTTGTAGGTAAAAGATGGTTTATCTCCTATCCTTTTTCTCCCATTTTGTAACGATAGAAGTAGAACAGTTACCATGAGTCCATCCAAGAGTGAGGAAAACTCCTCCAACCCATCGAGGGTCAATTTAGTGACCAATTAGGATTACAGATATGGTCACGTGGCATGGATTACATTTCCCAGGATACCTTAACTACATTTACCATGATGCATTCCCTTAAGGGAACAGCTCACAATTGCTACCTAACTATCCAATTCCCATACACTGGCTGGACAGCACACAGAAGCAAATGGGTTTTATTTTGGTCTGAAGATATCTTGGTTGGCATCCCTCCAACAGACTGTGCCTTGTTATATCCTTGAATTTGGTAAATACTTCTCCTGTTCCATTGTGGACATTCCATCATTGTAGGTTTTTTTTTTATTGCACCTCTATCTGCTCATTAAATTTGGACTGTACTGCTTTCTTTTGAAGACTATTTTTGAGTACGTTTTATCTCCAACTGAGTATTATTGAACAGTGGGGCCAAGTTGGAGGCAATAAAGGACATTTATTTATGTTTTGGATTTTGTTACGTTTGTGTTACACTCTGAGTCATCACAGGGCATTTGTGAGAGCAAGATGCTTTGTGAAACTGACCTATAGAAATTTTCTATGTCATCCTGAGGGGAAACTATTTGTTGGCACTGTGTTGAATCATAGAGTTTGAGGCGTATCAGTGATGAATTCCAGTTTACTTCAGCGATGTTATTTACAGTCTGCATCAAATGCCAGCACTAACCTAATCTATAGGTTATATATATAAAACCTATAGTTAGCCCCCCATTTCCTAGTCACACTACAACAAATTGTACCGACTTACTACGTATTAACTATGCAGCAATTAACATTGAAACAGTACTACGTAACCTAAAGTCATCCATATCTATTGGCCCTGATGGATTATGTGCCTACTTTTTGAAAAAGCTCGCCACTGCCCTAGCTGAAGCGCTAAGCACAATCTATGAGGTATCTTTCACAACCAGCTCCCTGCCCAACTAATGCTTTTTTTTTTTAAATAACAAAATAAACATAAACATACATAACAAAATAAACATAAACATACCACAAAAAACATAAAAAGATCCTTCTTCATGAATTTACATACAGTGCATCGATTGGTTTACCACTTTTTTTTGTGCATCCATTTCCTAGTCACTAGTATAATTATATTACATAATAGCTCATATTATCAATCAATAATTGTATAACCTAATATCATCACTAAAAAAAAAAATCATTTATAATTTTGTTAATTCATATTTTAACGAGATAACTATAGTTTGCTTAATTTATTTTGCAATAAATCATAAGATCATACCAAATCTACCTTAATAATGTTTTATAAAGATAATATTAAGAAAAAAAAAATTTTTTTATGCTAAATCTGAATATTCTATCATTATGTTTTATTATCTAACCATTGATAAAAAAGATCCCAAACTTCATAAAATTGTTTATCTTCTTGTTCTCTGATTTCAAATGTCAATTTACTCATTTCAGCACAATCCAATATTTTCTTAATAATTTCTTCTTCTGATGGAATTTTCTCACTCTTCCAATTCTTAGCAAATACAATCCTAGCCGCTGTTAATATATTTACAATCAAATACTTCAAATTTTTATTATATATATCAGGTAAGATTCCCAATAAAAAAATCTCTGGTTTCAAGTCTATATGTGTCTTTGTCATTTTTTCCAACCATATGCGAATTTTAGTCCAATATTTTCTAGCGTCCTCACAAGTCCACCACATATGGTAGTATGAGCCAGGTATCTGATGACATTTCCAACATTTTTCAGATTTGTTCTTAAACATTCTTGCAATTCTTGTCGGGGGAAAATGTCACCTGTAAAACATCTTATACAAGTTTTCTTTATAAGCTGTTGACATTGTCATTTTATAATTTTGAGACCACAATTTTTCCCAATTCTCCAAATCAATCCCATATCCAAAATTCTTCCCCCAAACAATCATCGTTTCTTTAACTTGTTCCTCCTCTAATAAAATTTCCAACAAATAAGTGTATAATTTTTTAATCATTTTTTCATCAGTACCTGTCAAGATCCTGTCTAAATCAGTCAATTTATCATAAAATCCCTCCGCTTTAGAATCTATAAGATACCTTGAATGTATTTGCGCATATGAAAACCAATTCATCTTTATGCCTTGTTCTTCTAGTTTTTGCATTGTTTTAAGTTCACTCTTTTCATCCAATATTTCCCCATATCTAACTGTTTGTTCCTTCTCATATATTATAGGATAAGAAAAGGCTTCAATAGTTGATAACCAGACTGGGATTTTCAAATAACATTTTCTCTTAATTTTCTCCCAATTCAACCATAAAGACTCCCTTATATAATGCCTTCTAAAATAGCCCTGCGATTTGGTTCCCTTATACCACAGAAAAGCATGCCATCCCAGTAATAAATCATGCCCCTCTAGTGTCAACAATCTAGTCTTTCTTAATGTTATCCAATCCTTAACCCACATTAAATTTGCAGCTTGGTAATACAACTCCCAATTCGGAAGGCCAAAACCTCCTCTAATTCTAGCATCTTGCAGAAGTTTTAATTTTATTCTGGCTTTCTTACCTTGCCATATGAACTTCAACACAATTTTATTTAATTCTTCAAAGTAATCTTTACCAAGCCTGATTGGTATGGTTTGGAATAAATATAAAATTCTGGGTAAAATATTCATCTTAATTGTTGATATTCTACCTATCAATGACAATTGTAGATTTTCCCATTTTTTCAAATCAGATGCTATCTGTTGTTTAAGTTTGATATAGTTATTCTCTTTCAATGTAGTACATCTTGACGTCAAATATATCCCCAGATATTTGACCTTATTCGTAACTTGAATTTTCAATAAATCTGCCAGTTCATCTCTTTGTTTTAATAACATATTCTTTGTCAAGATCTTTGTTTTATCTTTGTTTATTTTCAAACTGGCCATCTCACCATAAATCTCTATCTTTTCCAGTAGCTTTAAAGCTGTTCCTAGAGGATCTTCCAAAATAAAAACCAAGTCATCCGCAAAGGCTTGCAATTTAAATTCCTCCTTCTTAATTTTCATTCCTTTTATATTTGGATCCTCTCTAATGTTTCTATTCAGCACTTCCAAAGTCAATACAAATAACAAAGGTGATAATGGGCAACCTTGTCTTGTGCCTTTTCTTATATTAATAGAATCTGTAAAATCTCCCTCTATCATCACTCTTGCCGTTTGTTTGTCATATATGGCTTCTATTGCTTGAATAAATTTTCTAGCAAAGCCCATCTGTTCCAATAACAAAAACATGAATCTCCAATTCACATTATCAAATGCTTTTTGGGCATCTAAAAATACCAAAGCCATTTGTTTTTCAGGGTGTGCCTCGTAATATTCCAAAGTGTCCAGAATTACCCTCATATTATCCCTAATTTGTCTCCTTGGCAGGAATCCATTCTGGTCAGGATGAATAAAGTTATTTAGATATCTTTTGAGCCTTTCTGCCAAGATGGAAGCAAAGATTTTGTAATCTGCATTCAGTAAAGAAATAGGTCTATAGTTCTTAATTTGTGATGGATCAGCCCCTTCTTTTGGAATAAGTGTGATATAAGCTTCTGACCATGTTTTAGGTATTTTCTTATTTAACATGGCTTCATTCATAACTTCTAACAATGGAGTGCTCAACGATTCTTGTAATGTTTTATAAAATTCTGCCGGGAGCCCATCTGGGCCTGGTGCTTTTCCATTATTCTGCCTATTAAGTGCTTCCGTTAGTTCCATCATTGTTATGGTACTTTCTAACATTTTTTCAGTCTCTTCAGGTATCTTGGGTAGGTTAGCATTTTGTAGATAAAGCTTAATTCTTTCCTCATCAAAATCCTCCTGTTTATATAATTGTCCATAAAAGTCTTGAATAATTATCTTTTTCTCCTTATTACCATAAC